CGATTCTTTTTCATTATCTTTAGAATATTTCGCTTTTGTTCGAGGTTGCAGTTCGCATTTGCTGTTTAAAGTTTACACAATTCACCTTAAGACAACTCACGATAATCAGTTGAACTTTACCTGTCTCAAGGCAGAAATCATTTCAGCGATATCGTGTTATTTTACGATAGATCAACGGTATTCAACTTTTTGCTGCCCAGTGCCTCACCCATCCCGTTTCCTGCTCGACTTTTGATATCTCCAGTATCTCTCTCTCTCTCTCTCTCCCCCCCCCACCCCATTCCCTTGTCAGAAGAAACTCTGAAGAGAGCGAAAATTTCATTCGAAATCCGCAGATCCATATATGATGCATGGGTCTCAAGTGAAGGATGAAAGAAAAAGGGAAAGAATATGCACACATCATATATCATTGTGAAGTTCATTGAATTTTTCTAGTAACAAATAAAAAAATTTAAAAAATTCCATAAGGGAATACGACCGGTTCAAATGAATTGCATTAGGCGTAGACAATTGGATATTCTACCCATTGGAATGCGCTTGAGAAGGATCTTTCAGACACGCAGACGGTTTCGTTCCCGTTACTGATAATTCATGCAAAATTTGAGATGAGTTGACTGATTGTGAGGTTGATAAGCAGACAAGGTCACGAAGATTTTCTTTGGTAGTGTGCATAAGAAAACGACGTGGTGCATTGCGTCTATTGCAGCAGTAATGATGAACAAAAGCGGATTTTTTTGCATTATAAACGCCAGTTTGCATCCATCCGACTGCTCACATTTAGAAATGATTTTTTGCTCTCACTTATTATTGTACGGTGGACTCTGAATGACTTGAAGTTTAGAAAAAGCGCATGAGACAGACTGCATTATCAGCAAAACCATTATGTCATGTGAAAATGGAAAAATGATTCGGGAAAAAAGATGAAAAATTGGCGAATCGCCGTGGAATTTTGCTTTTTAGTGAGAGTGATGAATGAAACCAATGAAGAAAAAATCAGCAGTTATTTCATGGAGTCAACTTTTTCGCACTTTTCTACATCACTACATGACGCTCAAAAAGGAAGTGAATGATAGTGTTGCTAGTGTTGACTAAAACTAAATGTACGGATCCCTATGAGGCGAACAAAAGTATGGAACATCTGATGTTTTGAAGATTCACCGTGAGTGGAAGAAACTGATGACGAATCATAACCGTGGCACATAGAACGTGCGAAAACGAGAGGGAAGATCGATTCGGTGGACGACCACCAGACGACCTTCTAACGTTTTTTGAGCAAATGACGGGCAAGTAGCTGGTAGTTGTGCCAGGTTTTGCAAATACCGCTGAGACTTTGTGGTGTTCGTTTCGATCAGAAATAAATGCGCGATCACACCAACTCATCGTCACAACCCAAAACTATGAACAAGGGTCAGGTGCTGCACTGCATATGTTGATTCCATATGCTGATAGTGGTAAACGAATACATATCCGATCCACCTCTATCAACGATCGCATTCGTGCATGTCTTAAATTCAATCACTTTCTTGTCAATCCTTTGATCAGGTTCAGTCGCTTGCATCCCTATCACCAATCTATCGTCTACGGTCTCGTCCATCCCCTTACTGCCCACTTCTTCGCCCTCAGCCCTTAGCATTTCAAGCTGCGCAAAATGCCCCTCAGAAGGCGCGGTCAAGCATACTTAATGTAGAACTATGACTGGTACTCATGAATTGTTCAAGTAAAGCTTTTCAAAGTGCATACGTGAATTAGTTGTTTGAACATCGAATGATTTCGGAATCATTTGAGACGTTCTCCGAAATGCATTGCCGTTCTATTCATGTGCAGTGTCGCGTTGCATTTTTCACTAAACGATCGTTGACTTCATTCTGCGCTGCTGTCATTAAGTGCGCAAAATGATTGATGAAGCGCTGCTTGAAGGGATTCATTGCATCAAGTTCAGTCGAATTACAGACACAAATTACACTATTCAAAAAACTGGCTCCACCACATGAATTGAGCAAAAGTTCACGGCGATGGCTTTGTTTGCGAAGAAAGTGAAGAAACTAGCCACTTTTCAATTCCTCAACATTAAACTTCTTCTTAACGGTTAGTTTGCAACGTTTTGAAGATCCGCATTCTTCCTCTTTCAACCGTATGACANTTGAAGTGAGATGATCGTTGTTGGTTATAGGAAGAGGGTTTTCGAAATTCAAGAAAACTTATCGATTGAAAGGTGAACTCGGTAGAGGTGGTTTTGGGATCGTTTATCGTGCAGTTCGAATCTCTGATGACACTCCGGTTGCAGTGAAATTCATTGAACGAAGACATGTTCGTGAATGGGCGAAGGTCACTTTCACTTATATGCACTCGCTTTCATCCGAAAACGTTTACCAGTTTAATTCCTTTCAGCTGTCGACTGAAATGTGCTGTATTGTTGAATGAATTTTGTAGTTAAACGATGAACGAGTTCCGATGGAAATCAGTATGTTAGCACGATGTGTGAATATTCCTGGAGTGATAAAGCTGATCGACTGGTACAGTATGCCTGAAGGGTTTTTGATCGTGATGCAACGACCGTATCCTTGCATTGATCTCTTCGATTTCATCAAAGCTCAAGGTGTTCTTGACGAGAATGTGAGCGTTTTTGCTCTATTCTACACGAATTCAAATGCATTAGAACTTTACAAAAAAACCTGTTTTTACATTTGATTGCAATGAAACACAAGCAAAACTAATCGTTCAATTTAACACTGAGGTGTCACTGGATATATCTCCAGTTGGCAAATCAAAATCAAAGCCGCTTCTCGTATAGAACCGTCAAAGGCCCATCGGAAAAGTTTTACCCTTGGTCTGAGCTGAATCTTCAGCCGAAAAATCAAGACATTTCTGTAATTTATCACACGTTAGTGCGCCTGAGGCGAGGGAACATTTGAGCCAGCTTTCTTCTCGCACTGAAACAAAGAAGAACTTTCGTTGAGATTATGGGAAACATTTTTGGATTGCACCCATTTTATTGCTGCACTTCTCCATCATAAACAACGCTTCTCTCATACCTCAACAAAATTATCTCGAAACAAAATTGGTCTAAATATAGCACTTTCTCTGAAGTTTCTTTCTAATTTCAAATTGAGATGTACTTTTTAAAGAGTATGCAACAATAGATCAGTTTCCATACCGTATAACATGAGCTGAATTATTTCAGTTGGCGAGGTTTTTGTTTCGACAGGTTGTTGAGACGATTATCCAGTGTATGCGTCACAAAGTCTTGCACAGAGATATCAAGGTTCTTTTAA